AATGGAAAGAAAATACTCCCCGAGTTGCCTCTCGGTTAGCCGCCCTTGTTTCAAGTCTTTGGCTCGACTTGGCCCTTAGAATATGTTATTCTTTGAATGTTGGGGCTTTCCAACTCAATGAAATTTTCGCCACCTCCTTCAATGGAACACATATCTTGTACTTGACCTTCTTTTTGCGTGGGAACCATGTTGGACTTAGACCCTTAATGACAACAATCGTCCAGCCGACCCCTTTCTTGTACTTGTCCAGTAAGGTGGTCAAATCTTCCTTCTTTGATAAGGTGGTCGATTTGATGATCGGTTGGGAGTCTTCCTTCTCGGGGTACATATCCCTTGAAGAGTCCAACAAATGTATCGTTTTCGGCTCTTGTGGTTGGTCTACCGGCGAAAGGAGTTTCTCATTGGTAGTGGGTGGATCAGCCTCTTTTTTGTCAACCTCCAACTCCTCCTCTACAACTTCCATGTCATCATTCTTAATTTCTACTTCTTCCTCGACAACCTTTTCCATTTTTACTTCTTCCTCCTCTTCCCCATCTTCAAATTGCAATGTTGGGTCATCAAAATTTTTCCCATCGTTCAAGGTGATGGCAGAAACGGTATGCCTTGGGTCCTCTTCAGTCTGCGATGGTAATTTTCGTTGAGTTTCCAATATACTCACAGATTGGGCAAGTTGTGCAATTTGTTCCTCTAAGCTTTTGAGGCTAGCTTTGGTTGTTTCCTGGAAGATTTGGGTAGTAGTGGAAATGCTTTTCACAATGTCTTCCAAGGACATGCTCGAATTTTCAGCTTGTTGGAGAGGTACAAAATATGGTTGTTGGAACTGTGAAGTTGGTTGGTATTGGTCATTTCCCCAAGCTTGGTATGGGTTTTGGCATTGGTTGTTTCCCCAAGCTTGGTTGTTTTCCCACCATTGATCATGTTGAGGTTGATCGTGACTCCATTGATTTGGCCAGTAGTAGCTTCCGCTTTCCTGCATTTCCTCCCATCCCCCTTGTAAATATGGACACATGTTGGTGTGATGTCCATTTTGCGTGCAAAAATCACAAGGAATAGGTGTGGGCTGCACACTTCTGTCATTTTCAATCATCATAACTAACCGAGCTAGCTCAGAAAGTTGGTCTTCCTTGTAAGGAGTATTCATTTCCGAGCCACACTTTTTTTTTTTGTTTTTTTTGTTTTTTTTTTTGATAGAGATGTACCTACTCACAAAAATCTTGGCATAAACAATTAGTAACAACGTGTCCCCGGCAACAGCGCCAATTTGTTAGGCGTGTCAGACCCAACAAATAAAAGGGGTACAATAGACTCCAAATACACTGCTTTAATGCACTAAAAAGTAGTACAAGGCAAGCAGGGTCGAACCACAGAGACACGGGACAAAAGTCTATACCTTTTTGCACAAGGTACTTTGGTCACAAAGAGGGGGTTTGTTTGCAAAAGTAAATAACTAAATAACAATCTACTTTAAAAGCATGCACAAAATGAAATAGATTTGTAAACAAATTGATTGAATGGTTCTAGTTCTAGTTCTCAATGTTGTTGTTCAACTTGATTATGACTTGATCTAATTCAAGATTGCTATTCTATGTTGGTACTGAAAGATATTAACACGCTCTAATAACTCTCGCTTGCCAAATTATCTAACCAAAACACGCTCTTTGATTAGACCTAGCTTTACTAATTCAACCTAAACACGCTCTTAGATTGTATTGAAAAACTGCATTAAGTTTTGTACAAGCTTCCCAACAATGTTCATTTCTTCTCATACGCTCGGAAGTGTGAAAACATGTGATATATGTTTTACAATAAGAAAACTTATTGCTTGTTACCAATTATTAACTCAATAGAATGATTAGGTGCCCTAAAAGTTAATTAACTGCACAAAAATTCAATTAATGAAAGTGGCCAATCAAACACAAATCAAATTCAAGGATTCTAGTTTAAACAAAAACATAATCACTAGAATAGAATCACAAATCAAACATCAAATCATATGCTTCAAGTCAAGCAATCAACATTTTTTGAACAAGAACTAGAAACTAGGGTTTCGTAGCCACACATGGCTAAGAACAAATCAAATAAGAATAAAGATGGAATTGGGATGTTTAATCCTTACAAAAATGAAATCCAAATGTTTGCAATGATTAAGTCTTCTCAAAAGCTCCAAGAATTCTCCCAAAATTGGCCTAGATCGCCAGAAACTACTCCCAAAACCGTTCTCCCCTTCAAAATGACGTCTCCTGCTCTTTTATTAAAGTTCACGTGACATGCCATGAGGCCATGCGTTTTTAGCATGGCCATGCCTTTTGCCCATGTGTTTTTTTTTTGGCATGGCCATTTGTCTTGACCATGTGTTTTTTGGCATGGCCCATGCTTTTTGCTAAAATTCCAAAGAGTCTTCACTATTGGCTCCATCTTCATGTTTTCTGCCATGGAATGACCGGTTCATCTTCTCTTCATGTTCCAAAGCTCTACGCTCCAAGCATCCATGCATCCAAGCTCCACGTTCCATGCTCCATAATGCCTGCAAAATAAATCAAAAATAGTGAATTACCAGGCATTCTTAATGAAATATGTAATTGCCCTAATAATCAACTAAATGCAAGAATTATGAAGTAAAATGCTATAAAAAGATGGAAATAAACATGCAAAATAGGTGCATAAAATGCACCTATCATAAGGACCAAAGCGGAAACACAATTCTTTTTAAGAGGGTCATTTCAAGTAGGGATAATGACTTGAAAGGGTAACGAACTTTCGATTTTTGTCATATTTAGTCACTAAACTTTTTTTCGTTATCTATTTGCCATTGAACTATTTGAGACATCCCATGAATATGTAGTTACAACATCGTCTAAACTCGTAATTCATAGTAAGGGGTTACAGTATCATCACATGAATACGTAGTTACAACATCGCCTGAACTCGTAATTCATCACCTACAGGTTATGGGCCTGCTGGTGTTTCCACTGGGTTGTCTAGAATAGTCCGTGGTCGCCATCTATACTCTGGTATATGACTACATCGCCACATTGTCGGTTAAGGTTATGGTATCTCCTTTCATCCTACATCACATATTCATCATCATCTATTTACCTAATTATCATCACCTTTCTATCATCACCTATCTCTCATCATTTATTTCATCACACACCAACTATTTCATCTACCCATGTTTCCTCCGCAACATATTTGTAGATATAAAATAAATATACCGTTTAAATCTTTTAAAACATGTATAAAATCGTTCATCGAACATAGACAGCAAGTATTCAAATAATATGCACACATAGCATGTAATTCATATAAAATACTTCATATCTATGTGTAAGATGAAAATAACTATATATAGCATAAAAATACCATAAATGCTTCCTAACTTCGAACCCCAAGGTTTACTCTACTAAAGCTTCATATTCTTGGCTCTCTGGACCTAGAAGGGTCCAGATCTATCACACCAAAAAGCTCAAGATAGCTCTACCTTTCACTCTACACACTCAAGCTCGCTAGGGTTCTTACTTATGGGAAAGGTAGTCGCAATTGAAGGCCATAAGTGCCTTTAAATATGGCTCGGGCCCAAAGATTTAGGGTTTCTGCCAACAACGCGGACTCATCGAGTCCATTCATTAATCCGAGTCATCAGTCGCGACCTTACTCGACAAGTTGAGGCGTCAACTCGTCGAGTTGAGGCGTCAACTCGTCGAGTTGAGGCGTCAACTCGTCGAGTTGAGGCGTCAACTCGTCGAGTTGAGGCGTCAACTCGTCGAGTCTCTCTTCTTAACTCAAAAGAAAAATACTTAAATTATGATACCTGGAAATCCGGATGTTACATTTTGTTTTTTTATTTCATAGATTTCTTTATCAACAAATGTTGCTACAATTAAACAAAAATAAATAATTTGCTAAAACATAATACAATAGGAAGTTTGTTCACATTTAGTCATTGAACTTTTTAGAGGGAAATGAAATTTCGATTTTGTTCACATTTAGTCACTAAACTTTTTTTCGTTATCTATTTGCCATTGAACTATTGAAACTGTTCACATTTTACTCTTATGACCGGTAATAGCCGGTCATAAGGGTAAAATATGAACAGTTTCAATAGTTCAATGGCAAATAGATAACGAAAAAAAGTTTAGTGACTAAATGTGACAAAAATCGAAAGTTCGTTACCCTTTCAAGTCATTATCCCTTTCAAGTAATATTGTTTAAACAAGAACCATGTTTGTTATTTTTTTGAACACGGACCATTTGTATTTTTATACAGGTGCCATTTATGTTGACTTTTTTAACCACGTACCATTTTTATTAATCGATTTTTCCGTGGAAGGGCAATTGTATAAGCGACATAGAAATTATGATAGCCGTGACATAATTTTTTTTCCATCTAAATATAATAACATAAATTTTTTTAAAAGTAATAATACATTAAACTGACCCATTACATCTTAATATTTAAATTTGACAAACACACACACACACACACACACACACACACATATATATATATATATATATATATATATATATATATATATATATATATATATATATATATATATATATAGGGTTAGGTTCATGTGAGACCACTTGATTTTGTGAGACGGAAAGACCAAATCTTGACCACTCATCCTAAATAATCAAAGGCTAATATTAATTCAGATTAAACCATAAAATAGGCGGTGGCAATTTTGTAAATTAATGGAACTTTGGGATTAGATCAAGACACGGAGGGGCATTAATGGAATTTTGCATTCTTTTTCTTTCAACACACAAAAACAAACACCCGGTACGAACCCTAAAACCCATTTGATCCAAATCGCGATCATCGTTCTGCTTCCAAAATCTCGATCATCGTTCTGCTTCCAAATCTCGATCATTGTTTCAGACTCTAATTCTGATTATACCTGAAATTCATCTTCCGATTATTACACGAAAACCACTCGATAATCAACTAGAACATTAAAAACATTTCGATTTTGAATTTGATATCGAATCAAATGGCTCATTCTACAGATTCTGATTCTGATTTTGTATCAACAGCTGTTCCAAGTAAGTATAATACTACAAACCTCTTGTTCTTACACAATAAACCTATCTGTTCTTATTATAGAAAGTTTTTTCACTTTAAATCGTGTTGTGTATTCAATAAATGTGTAATAATTGAGATAGTTCACTAACTATTTATATTTCGAAGTCAGTATGTAAAGGAATATAGCATTATAAAGCATACAATCTAAACCTAAATCTCAGTGTGTGATTTATATAGAGTCTATGTATCTAAATGTTAACTGTACAGAGTTTTCTAATTATTCCCCCATTTCATTTGATCTAAATATTCTTAATCAAAATCAGCAAAGATGTTATGTTATTCTAACTAATTGTTCATCATTTAATTAGATTTAGATCCATAAATTGTCTAATACTATAGATTTTGGTAACACAAATCTCTTATTATGATTGTAGTATATTGTTTAGCCAAAAAAAATCTTTGTATTCTAGTGAATTTTATGTTGATTGATAAATAGAAATTTGTTGTTATGTATTTATAGAACTGTGACAGATTATATATCATAAACTAATATGAATTCTAATGGAATTTGATGTTATTGATGCAGCTAAAAAAGTGCAAACAAATGCAACTGTAAGAAAAACAGGGAAAGAAATCTATATCGATATAGGTATAAATTGTGATTACTTTTAGATTATATATTATAATTGCTTTTATTAACCTCTAAATGCTTTTAATAAATATTCTAATTGTTTTTATTTGATAATTTTCTTCATACAGATTCAACAAGTCAAGATAGGGTTAAAAAAGGTATGAACACCCTTTCTTTCAAATAATTCATAAAAAAAACAAATGTTTGGATTTATTTTTCTAATTGATTTTAATTGTAAATCAAAAGAAAAAGAAGACAAACCTTATGTTGATTGATAAATAGAAATTTGTTGTTATGTATTTATAGAACTGTGACCATATTATATATCATAAACTAATATATTCTAATTGATTTATTTTTCTAAGTTAGTTATTCTGAATATTCTAATTTTGTTTTATCATGTATTCTAATTGATTTTAATTGTTAAATTTCATGACAAAAGATTTGTAAATTCTAATGGAATTTGATGTTATTGATGCAGCTAAAAAAGTGCAAACAAATGCAACTGTAAGAAAAACAGGGAAAGAAATCTATATCGATATAGGTATAAATTGTGATTACTTTTAGATTAAATATTATAATTGCTTTTATTAACCTCTAAATGCTTTTAATAAATATTCTAATTGTTTTTATTTGATAATTTTCTTCATACAGATTCAGCGAGTCAAGATAGGGTTAAAAAAGGTATGAACACACTTTCTTTCAAATAATTCATAAAAAAAAAAAAAAATGTTTGGATTTATTTTTCTAATTTTGTTTTATCATATATTCTAATTGATTTTAATTCTTAAATTTCATGATAAAAGATTTGCAAATTGTAAATCAAAAGAAAAAGAAGGCAGATGAAGGAAAATCAAAGAAAAAAAAAAAAAAAAAACGTTGTTACTTCTGAAAGCGACTCCGATTCTTCTTCTGATTCATCCTCACATCATAGAAAAAGAATTAAAAAAGGTATCAACAATCATTCTTTAAAACACTTACTAAAACATTCTTTAAAACACTTATTCTAATTTTTTGGATTTATTTTTTCGGTTGATTATTATGAACATTCAAGTTGATTAAAATAAATATTCTAATTTATTTCAATTTTTAAATTTCTTCATACAGCTAAAAATACAAAAAAGAAGAAAATACTTGAAAAGAAAAAAAGACACTATGTTTCAGATTCTTCATCTTTACAGTCAGAGACATCAGAGTCAGAGACATCCACAACAGAGAGTGATGAATATGGTAAAATATGTTGTCTTTTATAATATATATGTTGACATCCAATAAAAGTATATTATATTTTTCTAATAGAATAATTATTGATGCAGATAAAGTAAATAAAAAGAAAAAAAGAAAAGTCAAAAAACATTTCAAGCGCCACAAGAAATTAATCCATAATGATGTGAAGCACAAAAAGAAAAAACATGTTTCTGATTCTTCAACAGAATCAGAGACAGAATCATACACACATTCAACGGGTAAAATAATCTAAACTTTTTTTTTTCGTGAAATATGATTTTATACTTTACAATTCCAATATTATGGAACAATATAAATATTAGAGTGTTTCGAAGAATATTTTTCATAGACTATGTTTGACATGAATTACTTATGGATCATAATTGAAAATTCTTGGTATTTTGATGTGAAAGTATTTTTCTATTGTTTATTGATGTGAAAGTATGTTTCTATGATATTACACATTCTATATATTATTATATCATAAATCATGTTATACTTGATTTTTTTGTTGTTTTACTTAGCTGATATACGATTTTGCAAACATTTGAGTTTAATTTTTTATAAATAATATAATTTGAATAAATATCTACATTTTACTTAGATGATATAGTATTTTTGGATTAAATTCCGTAGAATATTCTGATATAATAAGTGTATATGTATAATATTCTGTTTGGAATATTACTTTGTAATTAAATGAAATATGATTTTTGGATTTTTGTGGGGTTACTAACATCTATGACTGATGTAATGAATTAGATGATGAATCTGATGAAGAAATCTATGTAAAAAAGAGAACCGGTGATAGAAAATATGTTTAAGGAGTGACAAAGATTAATGAAGCAAAAAGGAAGAGGAATAGTAGGGACAATCGTGCAGCAGTAAAGAAACAAAAAACCGTGAAAGAGCAAAAGACTGTGAAAGATATATTGAAGGAGTTGCCTTCAATAAACACTAGATCAACACCTGGATTGATGACAGATGCTGTAAGTTCTTTGACATCAGAACAAAAAGATTAGGTGAAACGGATGAGATTTAAAGCCTTTTTGAAGATCAACATTAAGAGTATTCCCTTAAAACTTTGCCATTTTGTGCTTAAGCATTACGATGAAGGCACAAACAGTATTCTGATTAAAGGAAAAAGAATAAAGATCACAAAGGAAAAAATTCATAAAGTGTTTGGTTTACCCAAAACTGGAAAAAGCTTATTTGATTTGCACAAGGTTAGTGAAGATCATCAAGTGTTTGATGGATGGATGAAGGAACTTGAAGATGGAAAGGCAAATGCAACAAACTACAAGAAGATTATTCAAAAATCCGAACAAGTGGATATGAATTTCAAGCTGGGTTTCATAGCTTTATTTGTTAATACGTTTGCAGAATCCATTCCTATGGGGACAAACAACTTAGTTCCAGTTAGAGCACTTGTTGAAGTAGATGACATCTCTAAAATCGATTGGTGTGCATATTTATTGTACTGTGTGAAAAATTCAAAAGGGAGATGGCATCCAGACAACCCCAAGTGTTATTATATAGGCCCGATGTTGTTGCTATTGGTATGTTTTTTCATATACTTATTTTTTTTCTTAAAAATGGATATCTAATATGATGTTGAAATAATGCAGCTAATTTACTGTGATGAAATTGAATGCAAGCTCCAAAAAATAGAACGTAAAACACCATTAGTTACGATGTGGACAGCAGATAAGTTGAAGGAAAGACAATCTTTTGAGATTGAAGCTGGTGGATTTGGGGTTGGGAATCTAATTGAACGAAGTTCAAATTTAGAAATTGAGAATAATGAAAATCAGGTGAATGAGAATCAGGACATGCGTATTGAGGTATATTCTAAGTAGAATATATTATTAAATTATGTTTTAGAATATATTTTAATTATATCCTAACTTAATATAAGAAAAATATTCTAATGTCTTTTTTTCCCAGGAGTATGAAGAAAAGTATGAAAAAATTTTCAACAATGTCTCAACTGAAAAGAATGATATGGAAGATATTATTTTTCATTGTCTATCGAAGTTCCCTGAAGACAATAAAACGAAGGAGATGATAAGAAAGTTTAGAGACATATTTTCAACTACACTTTTTTCTAGTCGAGAGAAATCAGAAACTATTAAGGAGAGAACTGAAGTCAAATCAGATAGAGATGAAGAGCTTAATAAAACAAACATTTCTGATTCTGATGATGATAAAGATGAAGGAATGAATACAAAGTTGGTTGCATTTTTAGCTGTTAAACCATTACAACAGAAGTTTCCAGAGAATGAAGAAACACAAGAAGAAGATCAAGATATGAATGTTGATGACCGAATAAATTTGGGTTTTGAGAATAATATTGGCGAGGAAACGATTAGACATCCGCATAATCCAGAAAGACAAATAGAATTTGAAGGCATAAATGTTGATGACAAAATAAATTTGGCTTCAGAGGTGAATAATATAGACGAGACTATTGAAAAAAGAATTTAGAAGACAATGTTGAGAGCAAAAATCTTGTTAAAGGTGGTGAAATTATTGGTGGGGAGAATATTAGGGAGGGGAATATTGTAGAGAAGGTGGTTGGAGACAACATAGGTGAGAGCTCAATTGTTACACCAAAACACAATCCAAAAGGTATATCTATTGATTTTTCCCCTTGGTCTGATTCATTCATAGAAAAAATGGATGAGGATTTGCTTAGAATATTCTCAAACAGAAATCCAGATTCAAATACAATTCAAAATCCAGTTGTCAGATCTCCTGTTCCAAAAAAGCTAACATTTGAAAATTCAGAATTTCCCTCCTTTGATCTTCAAATAACCCAACTAATAAACAATGCAGAAACTGGTGATAATTCTGAGGGTAGTGATGAAGATGGAGAATTAGAAGGGAATGAAGAGCATATTTTAGATGAGAAAGGGAAAAAGGGACAGAATGTGAATGAAAGAGGGAAAAGGAAGGTGACTAATCCAGATATTTTTAGATCACCTTTTGTGAATAGGGTAATTGACTTAAGTGAAAAAGTCAGTACTGAGCAAGAGATAATGGCGCAAATCATGTTTAGATGCGTTGCAGACAAAGATCCAATGTAAGTAAATTCATAATTGTGTAATATTCCTATTGGAATATTTTAACTACAATTCAATATTTTTGTTTTGAAGGGAAATGCTGTTTGAAACTGAGTCTGGAGACATAATGGATAGGGTGCATTTTGAGGGTATGCGTCCAAATCATAAGATACATCCTTTCGTTATTGATTGTTGGGCTGCTGTTCTTAATTTTGAAGAAGAAAACCTGAGAAACAAAAAATCACCACCACGTGTCTTCTTCAACACTCAAATTATGGTACTTAATTTTTAAATTTATTTTCTATATTCTAATTATAATTTAAAACAATGTATTATAATATTTCTATTGTTCTATATGTACAGACAGAAAAATTACTGGATTCTTCAATACCTTTTGTTGAAAGATCCCGACTTTTTGATGAGGCTGTAAACAATTACTTATATGACATCAAAAGAAAAGTGGATTTCAATTCTATTAATATGGTATGTATTTTTTATTACGATATAACATATTCATATTAAAATTTATAAAAATTCATTTGTATTTATGTTTGAACTACAGGTGTTTTTTCCAATACACAACCGTGGTCATTTTTATTGTATTCTTTTCAACCTTACAAATCCAGAACATATAATCATTGACAACATAAGATACACCAAAAAAGTAGAAGATGTCTATGGAGAGATTCCTAAACTTGTGGTAAATGTTTCTTCCATAAATCTAAAAACTTTATTTTAATCATAATTGTTTACTTTAAAAAACCACTCTGTATTAGTAAATAAATTCTGATTAGAATATAAAATATAATATTTATATTCTTATAAGATTTATTTACTTAATATAGTTATCATTTTAGAAAAATAATGGTATTTTATTAATATGCATTGCAGCAAATGTACTTTTCAAAGTTTTTGGACAACAATCGGCGGGATAAGGTTTCTTTGTTTAAATCTATGAAGCCAAAGAAAATGAAAATGGCATGGCAAACAAAAACTAAGACAAATGATGATGGTATATTTTTGATGAGGCATATGGAAAAATACATGGGTGAGAAAGAAGAAAAATGGGATGTGGAACTGGGAGAAGAAAGTGTTAGGACATCTAAAAATTGCAAAGTTGCGTACATTTTATGTTTCTAAGCTAGCAAACCATCAAATCAACAAGCAGAGAAAATTGAATGTTACAGAAGCATTGGAATTTTCAAAACTTGATAAGAAAACTAGGTGTATGTTGGTGAAAGAAGGCAGTGAAGCAAGAGACAATTTGGAAATGAAGAAA